AACTTTCAGCCAAGAATACTCTATCCAGCAAAAATATCCTTCAAATATGATGGAGAAATAGTAATTTTCCCAGATAAACAAAAGCTAAGAGAGTTCATGGCCATGAGACCCCTACTACAGGAAATACTCAAGAAGGCCCTCAGGCCTGAAAAAAAGAAGAGAAAGGGAATACAAAGCTTGGAGCAAGGAGAATAATAGGTAGACAAGATCAGAAAAATAGTAGATCTTTACCAGAATAGGTTAGCAACCACTTAAATACCAAAATCAAAGATCAAAGGAAGGAAATCATCAAAAATAAATATAACCTCATCACTGTAAACACACCCACAACACAAGATAGAATAAGTTGTAACAAGAATGACTTAGAAGGGGAAGAGGAAAGAGATTGATTTGCCTTAGTTTAAGGAAATAAAAGGCCATCAGATAATGGACTATCTCAAACACAAGATTTTTTATACAAACCTCAAGGTAACCACTAAACAAATAATCAAAACAAAACCACATATGATAAACAAAGAGAAAACTGGAAGAGTCATAAGACAGAACAACCAAACTGAATTGGCAGTCTGAAACAAATGGGACAAGAAACAAAGGAAATGCAAAAGAACTGTAAAATAAGTGACAAAACAGCAACATCAAGCCCTCATATATCAATAATTACCCCAAATGTAAATGGATTGAACTCTCCAATCAAAAGATACAGAGTGGCAGCATGGATTAAAAAGCAGGACCCAACAATATGCTGCCTCCAGGAAACACATCTCAGCTCTAAAGACAAGCGCAGGCTCAGAGTGAAAGGATAGAATAAAATACTCCAAGCTAATGGCAAACAAAAGAAAGCAGGTGTTGCCATACTCATATCAGACAAAGTAGACTTCAACATAAAAGAGGTTAAGAGAGACAAAGAAGAGAAATATATAATGATAAAAGGGACACTCTACCAAGAAGACATATCAATTATAAATATATATGCACCCAACATAGGAGCACCAAAGTACATAAAGCAACTATTAACAAACCTAAAAGGAGATATTAACAACAACACAATAATAGTAGGGGATCTTAATACCCCACTTACACCAATGGATAGATTATCCAGACAAAAAGTCAATAAAGAAACAGTCGACTTAAATGAAAAACTGGACGAGATGGACCTAGTAGACATATACAGAGCACTCCATCCAAAAACAGCTGACTACACATTCTTCTCAAGCGCGCATGGAACATTCTCAAGGATAGACCATATGTTGGGAAGCAAAGCAAGCCTCAATAAATTTAAGAAGATTGAAATCATAACAAGCATCTTTTCAGACCATAGTGCTATGAAACCGGAAATCAACTAGGAGAAAAAAACTGAGAAAGCCACAAAGTTGTGGAGATTAAACAACATGCTACTGAACAACCAATGGATCATTGATGAAACTAAAGGAGAAATCAAAAAATATCTGGAAACAAACAAAATGAAAATATGCCATACCAAATCATATGGGATGCAGCAAAAGCGGTCCTGAGAGGGAAATTCATAGCAATACAAGCCCACCTTAACAAACAAGGAAAAGCCCAAATAAGCAACCTTAAATTACACCTAACAGAACTAGAAAAGGAAGAACAAACAAAGCCCAAAGTCAGC